TACAGTCTAGGTATTGCTGGAAACACTTATGTGGTGGGATAAGCTCCATAGGGTAGTTGGGTGTTTTGCTGCAAAGATTTTAGATAGACTAAATAGACAATAATATCACACCTGTGCTCCCACAGTCTTTGTTGTCATTTAGGTAACTGGAAAGATACAATCCAGTAGTGAGTCCGGTGTACTGTAAATTGCAAGTTGTTTAACCAAAACTTGCATGGTAAAACTATGCAGAGAAAATAAACTTCCAAGTGATTGAAATGAAAACATAATCTGACCATAAGTACACAGTATCTCCATGAGAAACAAGTATGCCATGACAACCAAATGCCCATAAGATGCTTATCACTCTTAATTCAGCAGTACACAACATGCAAAACCACATGCTGAGAAAGGCATGCAAAAAGACACACAAGAATGCACTTCAGGTAGCTGCAAAATAAAAAAGGCATTTCATTGGAATAGCTCCTTGATCTGCCAGAGTAGTTCAGGAAATGTAAACGTAAAGCAAGCTGGAAAACATTGTGAGGAAAGAGGGGAGGAATGGTAAAACAGGAGTATGGCACAGTGGGAATAAATAGAGATGATCCAGTTAATTTAGAGAAACATGTGCTAAGTGCTTAAAGAGTGACCAATTTGTGTCCCTGAAAACCATCCACATGGGTGAGGATTTTAAACTCTCTAAGGGCAAAAAATATTTATGAAAAACAAGTTAAAGATTTCTGCTCAAATAGAACTTTATCTCCTACCAATAAAATAATAATAATAAAAAGAATTTTAGAAATATTAGTCAGAATAAAATTCAGAAATATAAAATAAATTATCAAATACATGGTACAGATTATAGCCATGAAACTAGACAAAAGAAAATTAGTGGCCTTCTGTATCAAAAAGTCTATCTTGAACCTCAGGTATACCAGTACCAGCAGAACAGAGGTGCCAGTCAGAAAAAATGCACCCAGCATCTCTTAAAAACAAGCTCTCCTCTTCAGGTTCTAAAGTTTTTGAAGTAAAACTTGGAAAATTAACCCTGGAAGAAATGCATATTAATTTTTTATTTACAGGCAGTCAAAAGTAGTACAAAGCAAGTTGGAACAGAGTGATTTGTTAGACAGTACTGCCCATTCTTGGATGAGAAGCTTCAGTCTAGGGATGAAGATCACAGAATCTATGCTTTGAAGGAAGGGTGGTTCAGCAGCCCCTCTGAGAAACTGTCACTTATCACATGCACGTTAGACTGAAAGTAAAAAATATTCTCAAACTACATACTTCATCAGATAAAATCAGAAAGCATTTTTTTTATACTGTATACAGCAGAGCTCAAGAGGGCTATCTATAAACGTTTCAGTAGAATCCAGGGTAGGTCACTGTTGCAGTCGTGATATTCATGAGATGGAATTGTGGTTTAGGAAAACCTATCTAAGTTTATAGCTAAAACTCCACTGATACCTATTGTAAACGGCTGAGAACCACAGGTGATTTTCTTTTATAAAAAGCAAAATAGAAATCTTGGAAGTCAACTGGTATTAATATAAGTACTGCAATTTACAGGAGGTCTGCATGAAACTAGTCAAAATCAGGGACAAATGCTGGCCAAAGAAACAAAATACCCATCTAGTTCTTCATGAAGCAGCTTAGCAAGAATTCTCTCTTCTATGGCTTCCTATTAATTCACTGCATAGAGTTTGCATATATTTCATTCATTTCTTAAAGCTAAGACTACAGTAACATGATAAAACTTTAGGTAAGTGAACCACATTTCAGCCTCGTCTGTTAAAATCAGTGCAAGAGCATTAATACTACTTTTATAAATTCAAGAAGACAGAAATTCATGTTTGGTGTAAACAACCTTACAAAAAGCCAAAATATCTATGTGAAGGAATTTTCTGTGAGAAAAATGTTGTGTTGTTTTTTGTTTGTTTTTTTTTCTCATTCACAAGTGCAATATTAGGATTGACAGAAATGCTTCCTGGTTTCAGAGTTTTCAGGATCATTGAATCATAGAATCATAGAATAATTAGGGTTGGAAAGGACCTTAAGATCATCTAGTTCCAACCCCCCTGCCATGGGCAGGGACACCTTACACCTCCTCAGCTGAATTGCATTCAGATCTCTTTGGACAATGTAATTTACTATAAAATATATAAACTGATAAAAGGATAAAATATAGCATATTTTAAAGCTAATTGAATATTATGGTTAATAAAGAGACTTAGTATGCTGGTGTTTCCCCCACATTTGTCTATCCAAGAAAATTACAGTAATATTTCAGTCCATGAAGGCCAGTGTGAAATGAGCACATTTGCCTGAGAAAGGCAGTAAAAAAATACTAGCTACACAGTGTTTTGTGACAGTCTCAATAACCACAGAGTTCAGTGTACATGGACTTTACCTTACTTCTCAGAGACATGGTGTGGAGTTTTCATCATTGCCTTTTATGGTTTGTGGGTTGACTAAAGCTTGTTTTGAAGGCAATTCATTATTTTACCTCCCACACAAATGTATGAGGCTCCATCACAACAGCCATTTACATAATTAAACTTCAGATGCTGGCAAATGGCTTAGGAGTTCAAAACGCAGTTTCTTTACAGGTGGAGCCACAGGTGGACTTTAGGAGACCCTGAGTTAAGGGGCTGTCCTTTTCATTTTGACCTACAAAACAGATTATTTAAGCTGCTTTATTACTTATTTCGACTTTCTGGGGTCTCATGCTGTCACCCTAGCTGTTCACCTGTAAGACCAGCTGACCACCCAATGACCATTAAGCAATTTTCATCTGTTTAAGATGTGGTTTCTTAGCATGACCCTGTCATAGTACACTGAAAGGACACAAGGTAAACACTGGGAAGTAAGAGCAGACAGGTATGTCTTTTATCTTCTGAAATTCAAGTCACTGCAGATTTCTCTCTGTATCTCCCTGCTTCCCTTCACGATCTTCCCAGTTTCCTCATAACTGGAAAGGTCAAAACTGAAAAGCAATATTCTCCAAAACTCCCTTTCCACAGCGTGTCTATTCTGTCTTTGGAGATGTCAAACAACCCAGGGAGCTGTCTGAAAAAAAGGCTCTGATATGTGTCAAAGCTACTTGCAAATGTCAGGAAAACTATGAGAGATCTTGAAGATCTCCATACAAGTCTCTGTCTTGTGATTTATTAATGGTGCATCTGTGTAAAGCCAGACACTGGGTGAATCACATCTGGTTACTGGAAAATATTTTTAAAATCAAAGTTTAACTGAAGGTCACAAGGCTTTTGCTAACCTTTCTCCCAGTCTGAGCCTAGAACAGTCCCTCTATTTACAGCTGTCTTTAAAAGTCCTCGAGGCAATATAATAGTTTGCTCTCTTTTAATAGAGCCCCTAATCTCTCCAAGTCACTATTTGAGAGCAGGCCATGAAATGTTCTCTCTCTAAAATCCCAAGCTTCATTTTCTCTCCAAAAAAAATCCGTGTCCATCCTCTTCCTGGTTTGAGATCCTCTGTTTCTCAGGTACATCATTTTAGGACTTCCCAACTCTGATTGGATCTGGGCATGTGTCCTGTTTGCAGCTGGGATTGGGATAGAGTTAATTTTCTCCCTAGCAGCTGGTGCAGTGCTGTGTTTTGGCTTTAATCTAAAAACAATGCTGATAACACACCAATGTTTTAGTTGTTGCTCAGTAGCGTTTACCCTGATCAAGGACTTTTCAGTCTCTCATAATCTGTCAATGAGTAGGGGCCCAAGAAGCTGTGAGGGAGCAGAGAGAGGACATCTGACCCAAACTAGCCAAAGGGATATTCTATACCACAGCACACCATGCCCAGTATATAAACTGGGAGGAGTTATCTGAAAGGAAACAGTTCCCTCTCAGGGATGGGTTACGTATTTGTCAGTGGGTGGTGAGATCTGTACTGTGCAGCACTGCAGTTTATTGTTGGTTTTCTTTCCTTTCCCCATTTAGTTTTACATCTTCCTCCTTGTTATTTCCCTTATTAACAGTAGTCATCATAGTAGTGTTAGTATTATATTTTATTTAATTATAGTTATTAAACTGTTCTCGTCTTAACCCACAGGTTTTATATTCTTTCAATTCTCCTCCCCATCCCACCCAGGGAAGGGGGAAAGGGAAAGCTGAGTGAGCAGCTGTGTGGTTAACTTAGTTACTTGCTGGGTTTGAATGACGACAGCATGTCAAGAGAGGACCTAAGCCACAGGTAGAGATAAGAAAGCACATCAACTCAGAAAAGTACCAGTGGAGAGCTTCTTGAGAAAATAACTGACTAAAAAAAGCCTGCAAAGCTTAGTTGGTCCTTAAATATTCTACCATTGTCTCTTTTCATAACATCTTTGCTTATCATTCCTATGGTTAAGTCCTCCCTATAGTATGCCCTCTTGCACTGGATTTTCAGAAGAAAGACTATCCATTAATTCAGGTAAGGGTAGATTGACTTTATATTACAAGATGATGCCTGGTAATCATCAGTAGCTCTAGCTTCTTTTTTTTGGCTAAGTATTAAGTGCCTGTGTTAGAACAGATGAACTAGGAAATGTGGGAAGAGGAAGATAGAGGATAAAGCACAGAAATGGTGGATCAGCAAAGATATTTTATATACTAAGAACAACAACAGCAGTGCTATTTCTGAAGCATTCTGGGGTTAAATTTTGCTGTTTGTAGCAAAAAAGAAAACCACACCAAAACAAAAACCAAAACCAAAAAGCTATAAACAATGAGCTCTTTCCTCTTGCATTTCAGCCGACAAAAGCATGGAAAACTAGCAATTTTTATAGCCTTTCATTGACTTTCTTTAACATAACCTTAATTTTAATTCATGCACTGTAGACAGAAAACTAAAAGCTTTAATAATACAGCCATTAGCTCTTACGCTTTATTAAAACTATTTGCACACTCTTTGTTGCACTTGTGAGACCTTTCAACAATACAAAACACGCTTTTAATATGTAAAGGAGCAGAAACTCTCAGAGAAACAAGAATATTAGAGCAGAGTTCAATGATGTAGGAAAGTACCTGGATAAAAATCCCCTTGCGCAAACATGTCAATCACATAGCGACAGAACGCATATTGATCTAACAGAGCAGAGGAAAAAGAAGAGTAATGAAGAATGCACATTTAAAATGTTTCTATTTATAGTGAAATAAAGCTTGGCAGTCCAAAGACACATTTCAGGTATAATTTTACTTAGATGTTTGTTTGTTTTTTTTTCCTGGCCTTCAATAATTCACATGCTCAGGAAGAGACAATTTATTGTCCAGATCTAATTTTCGCCTCCTAGTAAAAAACTTCAGAGCTACCGGTGCCCCAGAGCTACCAACTCTTTTTTGAGGCTGGAAGGATGCAGTGCATACCCCAGCAGTGTGCAGCCTCAGCTTTGGCATGCATCCTGATCCCACGTACAAGTACTGGGCAAACTGCTTCCTGGCCTCAGGTCCCAAAGACTTTTTTGTATCCTTAAAGGTCCATTTCAAATTTCCAGGTTATGGAAAAATTTATTAAAGTTTTATGTTACAGTGTTTTGTTAATAGTGTTTTAACAGTATAATCAATACATCTATTTAGTGAACAGGGATATAAAGAGAACTCTTTGTACTTATACTCCTGTAGCAATAAGATTTTCCACAGAATTTTATCATTTCACTACAGAATTATTTTAGAAACACTAATCTTTACAAACATATATGTATATATTGAACATGTATATATGTATATTTAAACTACACTGTTGAGAAATTAAGGCTTTTGAATCTAAATGAAGCTGATTTCAGATATGTCGAATGTCTATTGATTTCTCTTACATATGCAGAGTTGAAGACCTTAAAAAAATTCTAACATTAAGAATAGTGAAGAAAAGTTACCAGTTGTAACTGAATGAAGAAGAATCGCAATATTACTGCTGGATTCCCCATTTGGCCTGAAAAAAAACATGTTGCCTGACTGGACTCTAAGGGACATTAACTTTGAAAGTTAATATTGATGACTAAATGCCAACTCTGTTTAGCTAATTAGTTCCCAAGTGCCTTTGAGCTAGACATATTCATCTATCTGTCCTACACTGTTCTAGCACAGTCCTTAAACTACAGAAGTTACATCTCTTCCCCTTTTCACCTCCTGTTTCATCTCTCTCCCGTTCACCTTCAAAGACTCTTACCTTCTCTTTGCAAACTTCAAAATAAAATTATGCAAACTTTAATATTTAAAATTTAAAGATTGGCAGCCACAATTAGATTTAAATGCAAAATGATATTCACAAGTATATAACATTCACCATATTATTTTCTTTCTCACATAGTTCACAGGAACATCAGTATTAGTTGATGAGGCATTTATACGGTTGCTGCTTTATAATGTTGACTGCCATAGAAATCCTTGGGTGTAAAACTTCAGCTTTCAACGTAGGATTTCCAATTCAGTTGTAGAAATTAGTTTTACAAGCTCAGCAAATATGCAATTGTTTCTACTAGTCGATAGGAGCCTATGCAGTGATTTCCTGTTACTGAGATGGCATGAATGATACTAATCAGTGTTGTAGAATCCGTGGCAAACCTTCAAGAGATACAGAGGGTTGTGGTTCTAAACACTGCTTTTAAAACATTTTATGACTACTCATAAGAGTTTCTATTTTTGTATTTAGGAATACAAATTTATCATTCTTCAAAGCTTCAAGCTTTGGATTCCATCCTTAAGGAATGGAATTCTAAAGAATTTGGCTGCAATATCTGTACTAAGTCCATGTGCTAATTTTCTGAAAAAAGGTAGTAGCATATGTGTAAGAAAACAAGTATGTACAAGTCTACACTCTCACTAAGACTGTCTAAAGCCACTACAGTGTTTGCAATGACTTCAGTGAGCTTACAAATAGGGCCCCAGCAAGTGTTAATAAATAAAATGGACCAATTCATATACTTTAGCCCAGCAAGCAAATGGCAAGACACAATTCTTCCCTACAAAGCTGACTTTTCCTTACCCCTCTTTGCCAAAACCATCTGCCTTCATCTATGCTGTCCATTGGGAAGAGACCTTGGACCGTTTTGGGAGCTTGTATAAAAGACTGCTATATGGCATGGGGCAAAACAGTGACAGGGGACATAAAATGCATAGGCAATCACAGGACAGAGCACAAGCCTGTTGTGGCTCTATTTAGGTTGTGACATAGACATAAGGTCTAGCAGCTCACACCATTTCAGTAATATCCATAGAATCACAGAAAGGTTAGGCTTGGAAGGGGCCTTAAGATCATGTAACCCAACTCCCCTGCCATGGGCAGGGACGCTTCACACTAGACTGTGTTTCCCAACACTCTGTCCAGCCTGGCCTTGAAGACTGACAGGGATGGAACATTTACCACTTCTTTGGGCAGCCTGCTCCAGTTCATCATGGGAGGTGCTCCAGCTCCCTTATCATCCTCAGGGCCCTCCTCTGGGCTTGTTCCAACAGTTCCATGTCCTTTTTATGTTGAGGACGCCAGAACTGCACACAATACTCCAGGTGAGGTCTCACGACAGCAGAGTGGAGGGGCAGGATCACCTCCTTCTACCTGCTGGTCACGCCTGAACTTCCTCTAAGTTTAAACCCATTACGCCTTGTTCTATCACTACAGTCACTGATGAACAGTCCTTATCCAGAATCTGTATGCCTCCTTCAGATACAGGGTTTTTTTTTGTTTGTTTGTTTTTTAAATTAAAAAAAAAAGGACAGGATGTTAAACCCTGAACAACAAAAACAGCATTTCTACAGTATATTATATAATAAGGTGCACTATAACATCTCGTTGAAGTTCACAGGAATTCTGTCAATCAGCAAAGATCGAAACCTAAGGAATTTTAAATGAATACGATTTTCCAAATGCCTCTTCATGGCTAAAAATTCATTTTAATTTAAACTGCCTTGTTTAAAAGAAAATTTCAAACTACAGCTGTCACCTTATAACCCTGTAATAGTGGCACAAATATTCATCTGAGTACTAATAAATCACATCGAAGTTTGTGACTAGAATCTTATTGATAAATACAGTTATAGATATTTCTGTCAGTAGACTGCATTTGATTTACCCTGGGGTATGACCTATCTTTTTTAATTTTAATTTGAGCAGGGAATCATGATACAGGAGGGAAATCATAACAGATCTTCTGTGACTACTATTGTATTTTTTACCTTGCTGCAGAAAACCTGGCAGAACTAGTCCCCTGAGCAAGAAGTAAGGATTGCAGGTTCACAAAATCTTGGCAAAACTGTATTGACTTCAAAATTATGTTCACCTTGGGTCACAGTGGGACTGAAATATAGAACTGAGAGTATCCAGCTGGGCAACAGTGGCTTATGGGGTGAAAAGGAAGGACAAAAGTAGAAAAAGCAGCTTTCATTGGAAGTGTTTAGGCCTGTCTCTAGTGATAAGGGCAGTTGGAGAGGCTCTTTCCTTCCTCCACTCCACCTGCCAGGGTTCATTGCACAGCCACTTGAGTCACACTCTAAAGCAGACATACAAAGTGGTCTGTTAATGTTTGATGTTAAGATGGATAATTTTGCTAATATTCATCAGATAAAGCAGCAATCCCACAAAAAAAAAAAACAACAAAAAAACAACAAAACCCAAACATAACAAAACCAATAAGCAAAATACCACCCATTTTCTGTTGCTGTCTGTAACGTTGAACCCCAACTTGCTTTAAAATATTTTGCTGTCAGGGAGTAAATTGCCTCATCTGCTCACCACTGCTTTTTGAGAGCCTTATCCTGAACAGTATGGAGTGGATCCCACTGAGCCCTGAAACCCTGTCAGAGGAAACAAAAACTGAAAGAGATTTGTACTTTGCAAAGGGGCTAGACAATTTTCTGAATTTTCAACTCGGTCACAGGAATCAGCATGAAAAATGTTGCTTTGATTCTATGCCTCAAAGGCTCCAATATTTGAAGTAAACCTCCAAATTCACTAGAACACAAAAAAAAAAATTACCAGCTCAGCACACTATGAATGTCAGAAAGGGGGCATCTCTCAGATTTCTAGAAATGTATAATTTCGGCAAGTCCCAAGGTGTCCAGAGTTGATGTTTATGAAATTCTGAGAGAATCTGCCAAAGGAGATTAAGATATCCAGGCAGGGGTGGCTGCTTTGGTGTTCAGGCATAATGATTTATTCGTGGTTATCACCTGAAAGGATCAAATAGGTGCATCATTGAATGCTGAGCTCTCTCTAGTAATGTCAGAATAATCCTGTGCTTGCAGTGTAGCAGTTCATACAGAGAGCCAGGTCTGATTCCTTCATTCATACAAAATTGTACCTAAAGCCATGGAAGTGCCACAGGGAAATCAGGAACTAATCAGTGTAACTTGGGAATGGAAGAACCCAGCCTGGCTCTGACAAAGAGGAGCATATAGTTAACATCTCTGACCTTGATGCATGTTGATTCTTTGTTTCATCACTTAATTTCTACCTTTCACCAGGGTAAAGGCACATCCTTCCTTTTTAAGAGAAATTTGGAAGCCATTCACATAAAGTTACATCAGGCAGGTGTATCACTTTGTCATACATTACCTGACAACATGACAATGCCTCACATAATGTGTTGTAAAACAAATAATTACATTTACTTTCCTCTGTTGCTACTTTCTTTATTGTTATGGTAAACATATGCAGATGTAGAAACAAAACAAAATTCTCAGCAGGTCATTGGGCAGTCTATATTTTCCAAAATAACACTGCTAGAAATACACTACATAAATGTTACTGACAAAGCCATGAAGACTATCTGAGGAGAAATTGGTCCTTGGTAAAGAAGGATTTAAACTAAAATAAATCTTTAGCCATGATAAACAGTTAGAACATTCTGGGTATAGATTAAACTTATTTTATTCTCGACAGTCTCCTCCTAGTAGTGTGAGATTCATCTGGAATTTATTTATACTGCATTTTTGTTTTTCATGGATGGAATTTGGTCCTTGACAGCTTTAGCTCCATTCTCTCTGCTTCTTCCCTACTACCTTTTTAAGATCTTCATCTGTTTCCTCCTGGGTTTTTTTACCTTTCTTTTCAGATTTAGTTACAGTCTGAAGAGCTTTCTCCTCCTTAACCTTCGGTTTGGCCTTTATTAGCCCAACTTCTGTTGTTTTAGTCTCTGCCTGCTTGACTTTCTCAGTCATCTTTGCTTCTGCTTTTCCATCCTTCAAGTCCTTTTTAACTTTTGATTCCACTTTAGTGCTCTTTACTTTCTTCTCCTCTGCAGATGAAAAAGAAAAAGCTTTCAGTGTCATTCTTTCCTCCCCTTCCCAGACTTCCTCCCTCCCCACACCAGTAATATCCAATACCACTTATTTTATTTTGTGCTTTCACTACTAAGTACTTCTTCATTATTAACAGATCTGATGAAAAGTATAATCCCCCCAAACCAGACTTAGAGATATGAGATGCAAGCATTTTATTGTCTTAGGTCCTGTAGCGAGTATTTGACTGATACTAAATACAGTAGGCTATGGTAAAATATATAAAATGTTTCTAATGACTTTCTAACTTTCAGAGTATAAACTAGGGAGGCAAATGTGGTTCACTGAGGAAAAAAAGATACAGAAGGTACTTCCAGGCTAAATCTGAGTAACTTTAGACTTCAGAGATCAGAGCTAAACAGCTGTAAGCTCTAAAAGTAGTTGATTTAAAGTGTGGCTATTTATAAGCATCACTTTTATGCACTGATTGTACTTCTCTGCTGAAGAAATATTGAGTTCTTGAGTTTCTACACCAGTTCCCCAGGCTGAAAGACTAGTCTGAGGCAATCCAATTCATATTGCACCTTACAGAAGAGTGAAAAGTTTCCAAGAATTACTAAATTGTAAATACCAGTGTCTGAAGCTACACAGAGGTTGGTGAGACCAGGAGTATTCTTTCTGCTCACATGTATCAGAAGCTTTTTCTCATCTGAGACATGGACGCTGACAATATGTATGTTTCTAGTTTACTTCACTGGAACATCCAATAGTAGATGCCACTGAATATGACTTAAACTAATCTTTTTAGCATGATGTTCACACTCCTGTTTTCTTCATAGCCTTATTACATAAGCAAAACCCATATGCCACAAAAGCTGTCCTTTGTAATGCTCTAGCCTTCTATTTCTATTAAGCCACTGGGCTGACTAGAGCAATTTTATCAATATGTAAACTGAATAGTCCTACCTATTTTGAACCAGAATACAGATATTGATATGAGGGCATTTCTACTTCCAAACAAAAGAGTAGCATGACTAAGAATTGATGGCTAATGAAGAAAGAATTTGCTTAACTAGTTACAGTGAAAATGTACGTATCAGATCACTTACAGACAGGCCTACTTCTTTTCCCAGGAAATGTTTAACATCTTTAATTCTCATCTTTGAAATTTTAAGAGATTTTAGAAGGATCATGCAGAGAACTAACTCCAGAATGTTCTAAAGACATTTTATTTCAAATTATATTTAAATTTCATTATAGTATTATGTAGCTGATTTTTCACATATATTATATTCTCTGCTCCAGTAAAAGAAAGTTTATTGTTTTTAATGTAAATTCTGGTTAAAAATGTAGTATAAATAAATAAATAAATACCTTTGGGAGGAGGTTTCTTTTCAGCCTTTTCATGTCTTTCAGGTTTGTCTTTTTGAATTACTAGAAATGAGTACAATTGTTCATTAGGGGAAAAAAAAATCACAAAGAATAAGAAAATATCGCAAAACACAACAAAATCATGGGAATTTTCACATTTCTTCATGATTCCTCTGTTTTGCTTTGCAAAATCCTTGCTTCCTTTCTCAGGTTCACACACTGGGGTAAAAACCTTCAAAATATCTGTTGAGACTCACTAACCAGAAGACAAGTCGGTCACACAGATCTGAAGCTTTGCAGGGAATGTTTACACTGCACATTCTAGATGACACAGATTTCCTCAGCTCAAGCTCTGAGCAGCCATGGGCTTGATCTTGTGCTCCAGCCAACAGAAAGCTGTGTGGCTACATTTGTCTTGCTGAAAGGTGCGCTTCTTAGCTTGGGCTCACTATCATACAAACACCACCACAATCCTGGTGCTCACTTCAGAGCCCAGCTCGAGTGGGTTCATGTCTGCACAGGATACACTGTGTAAACATGCACTGCTATGTCCCAGAAATGTTGTCGACATTTTTTGCAGAGACTCCTATCTTTCCTCTCTTGGTTGCCATCCAGACACATAGCTGGAACAAAACAGCCTTGAAAGTTAATTACACTTCTTTCAAGAGATAACTACATAGCAGCAACATCCTCTCTAACTGAATTCCAGCCTGGAATACCTGCCTGTATAAGCCATGATTGATATTTAAACTTTTCTTTTCTTTTTTTTTTTTTTTAAGATACTGTCCTAGGTTCAGCAGTAGCAGTCATTTTTCTTCTTCTCAGTAGCTGGTGCAGTGCTGTGTTTTTGACTCAGCCTGGGAACAGCTCTGATAACACCGATGTTTTTAGTTACTGCTCAGTAATGTTTACTCTGACCAAGGACTTTCTGAGCCTCATGCTCTGCCAGGGAGGAGGGCAAATTGGGAGCAAGCAGAGACAGGACACCTGACCCAAACTAACTGAAGAGGTATTCCAAACCACAGCACGTCATGCCCAGTATATAAACTGGGGGCAGTTACCCAGAAGGGTGAGATCACTGCTCGGTTGAGCTGGGCATCGGTCAGCATGTGGTGAGCAGTTGTATTCTCTTCCGTTGTTATCTACCTTATCATTATAATTATTGGTGGTAGCAGTAATGGTTCTGTGTTCTACCTTAGTTACTGGACTGTTCTTATCTCAAGCCATGGGAGTTACATTCTTTTGACTCTCCTCCCCATCCCTCCAGGAGCAGGGGGAGGACACGGGAGGAGTGAGCGGCTGCGTGGCTGAGTTGCTGACCGGGCTTAAACCACAACAGATAGCTGTTGCTTGGATGGTGTGTTTAAACAGCATTCACATCACAGATGCTTTCTGCAGGCTTTAACAGGGGCTGGAGAAGTACCTTCTCTTTTCACTGAACACAGAGTGACTGTGGGGGCAGTAACTACCAGATTTTCAGTACTCCTGTTCCCTGAAGTTGGCCTGGACCTGAGCATCCTCATCTTTTATGGACTGCAAAGTGGTTGAAATAGGCCCTCAGCACCCATGGTAGCTGATCCAGTTTAGAGCAGAGCACAGACAAAAGGAAGTGAGCTTGGGAATAGATATAGCTCAGCAGCACACTGCCAGCAGAAATGTGCCTTTGGAAGCACTGGGGCAATGAGTGCCCTAGTGCACTGAGTCTACCCATAGTGACTTGCATAGCATGGAAACACTCAATAGAGTGTAGCAGGTCTGTATGTCACATCACAGCAGCAAATCTACTTAGCTACAAAATGGCCAAATTCTTCATAAAATTTTCCAGCCAGTGACTAGAGTCATGGCTGATATTAAACACATTAAAACTCTAAGCGATTATTTGGTTAGCTAGCAGAAGATAAATGGGCAAGCAGGCTGGCTGCTCATTAGGAATATCTCAGTGATTCTTGGAAGTTATTTGCTTTTCAAAACTACACAGACACTATGGGCATTTATTTTCTCTGGATAACTACAATGTGATTTCACTTTGTTAACAGAAAATCGTACATTTTCAAGTTAGACACTGAAAGGAGAAAAATGACCAAATATCCTCTTAAAAGAGACTGTACAATGGCTACCTTTCAAAGTTTTTTGAGGCTTTAAGTCTTCATTCTACCTCTCTGTAATTTTCTGTAATCTCTTTCTTCCCTCTTATCCTCTCTTTCACATTTGTCTTCAAGAGTAAGATCAGCTCCAATAAAGACTGATTTGTACATCTGAATCTATATTGTCTGAGCAGATTCAAATTAAAGCTAATAAATTCATGCATCCCATCATCATGAGATTAATCTAAATGCCATAACAGATTGATACTAAGATGTATTGCTGTCCTGGGTTCAGCAGTAGCAGTCATTTTTTCTCCTTCTTAGTAGCTAGTGCAGTGCAGTGTTTTGACTTTCAGCTCGGGAACAGAGCTGATAACAAGGATGTTTTGGTTTGGCCAAGGACTTTGTGAGCCTCATGCTCTGCCAGGGGGGAGGGGAAGCCAGGAAGAAGCAGAGACAGGACACCTGACCCAAACTGACCTAAGAGGTATTCCATACCACAGCACGTCATGCCCAGGATGTAACTGGGAGTTAGCCGGAAGGGCTGGGAGACTGCAGGGTTGGAGGAGGTATCGGTCGGTGCTTGGTCGGGCTGAGGGGGGGCAAGTTATCGGTCGGCTGGTGCTGAGGTGTTGTATTCTCTTCCCTTGTTATTTCCTTTATCATTATTATTATTGGTGGTAGCAGTAGTGATTTGTGTTATACCTTAGTTACTAAACTGTTCTTATCTCAACCCGTGGGAGTTGCATTCTTTTCGATTCTCCTCTCCATCCCTCCGAGAGCAGGGGGAGGGCAAGAAAGGGGGGGGAAGTGAGCGAATGAATTGCCTGACTGGGTTTAAACCACGACAGTTCCATGATACCTTTTTTCAAGACTTAGCTGAGCAAAAGTAAGAAGAGTCATCGACTGAAACCTAAATTCATTACAGAAATACCTGGCTTCTGAAAAGCAATGTGCACTAAAGAAAAAAAAAAAAAAAGAAAAGAAAATCTCAGAGCAAATGCATTCAAATGCCAAACAATAAAACAGTTAGCAAAACAGGGCAAGCTGATTGGATTTTTAAATCCCCCTGTCCAAATCATGGTTAAAGATGGTATTATAAGTCAAAAGAATGCTGAAAATAGCATCTCACACATGATATTGCTTCAGAATATATATGATAATTATTAGATATGTAAATCTTAACCAAAGCCGTGGAGGACAGTACAAATCATGTACTGAAATGAAAATGTTATTGCAAAAAAATAAATGTAGGAAAATGAAAATCTGGTTTTGGATGTGATAGAAGATCCAGACTGAGAGACAGTAAACACTCCTGCATTAAGTCTGCACCAGATTGAAAACTGATACATGAGAGAAAGCCTTCTTTGCAAATAAATTACTGAATCCCATTGTGGAGTAAAAGACAACAAGGAATGCAAATATTATAGTCATAGGCTTATTTCTTTAGCTGCACAAGAATGATTCATAATTATCTCTCTGCATCAAAACAAGAGAACTAAGCAAGAAGTATATGCTGAGCAAGAGTTTACTCAGGAGTTGATCAAGACCTAGTCAAGCAAAAGTCAGAGCACCCAAAAAATGCACAACTTGAAGAGCTTTATACTTTAAATAGTCGTCTCCATGATCTCCCAAACTATACAAGCACTGAAAATCTAAAATTTTGCAAAATCTAATAAAAATCTCCATTACCTTTAGAAGGTGCTTTCTTTTCATGTTTTTCTGGCTTTTCAGGTTTCTCTCTCTGAATAGCTACAAATACATAACAACATTAATGGTTATTAAAAGACAGAAATGTTGAAATGTTGTTTTTCAAGTGAGAAGAGTGAGATCAAGAAACACAGCTAGGCACCACAGCTATCCATACAAAGAACCAGAAATATTGATTCAGCTGCTGCTGCTGCCTGCTGTTGGCGCCGAAACACATGATTTGAACTTTCAAAAACTTGTCTGTGATCCCTGAGGTTTCTACCATCAGCTGGGAGAGGAATGGCTTTTCTGGCATGATTGTAATTCCATGACAGAAGTTAGCCAAGAAGAGTCAAGCTTACTGATGTTGTTTACTGGTTCTTTTGTTGTTGCTGTTGCTTTGTTTTGTTTACACTGTCATTTATTGTTTATTTTGGTTTATTGTTATTTTTGAGCTTTCTTGTTTATGACTTTGGTTCATTTCTGAAGGATTTTCTAAACTCCACATAACAACTAACAGTTTTCTTAGCTATGAATGATTAAACACTATAATTAATTACAGATCTAATTGCAATGGCATTATAACTAATGCTCTTTGGGGCTTTTTGTTTGCTTTTAATTTCCACTTTACAAATTGAAATAAAATACACTGTAGTTACTAGATTTCTAGCTCAGGTTTCAGAATGCACCTGAGTGGTGCAGTAATCACTGAGCTGTGGTAGTCTAGAATATTCTCCTGTGTGGGCCCTGATTTGCCATTTTTTGAGATTGATGTTTACAAAATAACTTGTCCATATCTATGCAGAAATGATTTTTGTATGTGATCATATCTCCTGAGGTACCCTACAGGGACCAGGCATATAAAAGCACTCAGCTGCCTATTTCACTCCAGCATATGAGTTTATACTAAGAACAAATAAAACGCATGCATGAGCATTACTATGTTCTCTTCAGCCTTGTGTTGGTGCTTCAAAAGAAAGTAAAAGTTGTGGAAGATAAAGCAGTGCTAGATACCTATTTACTTCAAGTAACTGCTTAAAGACTTAGTCCTGCCTTATTCAATACCTATGCAACCGCCCTACTCAGTATTATATTTAAAATGTTATTTTTTCACATGGCCTACTTCATTACCTTTGTTTACAGGTTGTCAGGTACATTTTCCATGATGACCATACTCTTTTAGCAGCATAATTACTGTGAGTGTTGGAAATACTCAGAGATTACTGTGAGATTATCTCTTTTCCTCAGACAAAAAAACAACAAACAGACAGAATAGAAAGTGTTACTCAGCCTATATGCCTGCAGACCATTATATGATGTAATGAATTTAATTAATAAAGTTCTATAACATTTTTTCCAGTCAAGGAGATACATAAATGGAAATCGAGTAGACAATTAGTTCTGGTGTACCTCGAAATGTAAAATAAATTCTGTCATTAAATCATTACCTGCATGCTTTTCCTTTTTTCCATGTTTGTCTTGTCTTTCCAGTTTGTCTTTATGTGTCACTAGGAAAGAAGAAATGTGTTCATATATGTTAAAAAATCCTGTGGAAAAACTTAAAAATAATTCTACCAAGATAAGCCTTAGGAGACAAAACAGCAGACTACTTTACTCTTAAGCTGTCAAGAGCATAACTACACATTATACTACACTGGTGTGATCTGACAACTCTGGAAAGCAAGTTACCGCTTACCATCCAAGTCACCGTAACATGCCTTAGCTGTTTACTACAGTAATATCATCGCTTGCAATTGCCTGTCCAATCCTGGAGAGAGATTTTCAGAAAACTGTCAAGGACTAAAGCAGAGCTCACACTAAATGCTGTTGCCTGCACTAGGATGAGGACACCACCTGGGCCTCCCCATACTGTCAGGCAGAGGCATGTAAGAACCCTGGAATCAGTGCTGGAGCCAAAGAGCATCACATGCAGACATGACACATCTGTCACTTGCCAGCTGGCTTGAAATGGATAACCAGTAATGGATATGGATATCTAGTAATGAACACTAGCTGAGATCAGGCCCTGGCAATGATGATATAAGAGCCATAATTAGACGCCCAGTATGTGCAAAGTAAAAACTAACATTATGACAGTGGAAAATGTATTATGCTGCCCAGTTATTCAAGTAACATTTTCCACTCACTTTTCTTAGAATTTTACACAATAATTTTCTGGACAATGGGAAATAAGCATGCAGATTTTAGAGCAATTCAGAAAAATGAGCTGTGAAACTGCAAGCTAACTTTAACTTTTACTCCTGCAGAGATTGCATCCAAGTTTGGTAAAACTCCCTTTGCAAAAAAGAGAAAATAAGGAAGCTCTTTTACACTACAGTGAATTCCATATCTAATTGAAACAAAAGAAGAAGGGTAGGAAATGTCCAGGCTTTCACATTTTTTTTAGAAATATAGTGTGTATAAGAATGAGCTCCTGACATAGCTGGCTGAGTCACTTGTGACTGAGACACTTTTAATTGTTCTCTGTGTCATTAGATAACTTTCCTAAACTTCATTATAGAAGCTGATTATAAATTAGAATAGTATGTTATTTACTCTCTGTTACCTGAATCTTGAAAAGCAAATGCATATAAAGTGGAAAAGAAGCAGTTAATATACAGGGATGCAGTGAAACTTTGGAGTCTCCCAGTCACACTACAATTAAATGGGCCTTAAAAAAACATGTATCCATAGTCATAGTTTTAAAATACAAAGTACAGTGTGAAAACAATGTTTCTTAGTACTGTAAATACAGAGAATCTCTATATGCAGCACTGGTTTAGTAGTAAATGTAGTGATAGTTCACTAAATGAAACTAATACATTCACTTAAACATAAAACACAGAAAATTAGTAGGAATTATGACAAGTTAAAGACAGTATAATAATACTTATTCTTCTTCATTGGCTATCTGAGATTGGCTTTCATTTATTATTAGCTTTTAAAAACATTAACTATCGTTCTCCTACCAAATCAAATTGAAGAGTTTCCCAAATTTTCCATAAAATAACAGAAAAAATTTAATGACACATTCATGTTTTAAGATGGGACATTATCGTCTTTTTTCTGCCATTTTTCCAAATCTCAGAAAAAATTTCTCATGTTGCCATTATTCTATTTTCTAGTAATAAATATTAATTCTAACACACACTTGAACTTATGGGCCTGGCATTAACCCCTAGAGTCCATCTTGCTAGCTCAATGTATTTTGAATTAGTTATATAAAATGGGAATCTGCAGCCAAAGACCATTAGGAAAGCCTAGTCAAGCGCAAATTTTGGGAAGGTGTATGTTCACTTGGGTTGTGAGACTTGTGTTCTTGGTTTGAAATAAATCAACCACTGCTGGATATTGGGTCTTCCTTTTTTTGGATGATTTATTATGACCATTGGCCTATTCGTTCTTCCAGAATGGGTTTCTTCTTTCAGCCTGAAACTTCATTAATCACATTTTTATGTAAATGACATGTTCTCAGAAGGCTTAAAGTGTTTTGACAAGTAGGCATATTTCAACAAATGCCATTTTGCCAAAACATCTTTGACAAGAGGCAAACTAGATGGTGGCCTTCAGAGCCCAGAGCTAACTCATGACTTGTGGGTGGAGAGGAAACAGTGTCTGATTCTGACTCCTATAACAGCTTGATCTGTAATTTGTTGCTGGCATACATTAACAGCAAATTAGTAAATCATCTCTGAAATGAATCTGGGGATTTTTTTTTTTCCAAAGGCAGGTGTCTGGAGCAGAATACCTCCAGGGACCATGTTCTGTATGTTAAAATTTGCTCATTACATTTTGCTTAGAAGTATTCCCAAAGATGAATATTATGCTTAGATTTATTAAGGAAGAATAAAAAAGATACTTACTTATGCTCTGGGCATCTTTTACATAAGTTAATAATACAGTAAAAACTTATTCATAAATCTCTGAATATAATTTTAGCCTTTTGCTCAGCAATGAATTCAAAGTGATTTTAAAATACTAATTTTCCTTCCAGCTGGCTTTCACACCTCCTCCATCCTTAAACATAATTGGGTTTACAAGAAGGGTCTAAAAGTCAATACATTACATTGTTTTGAACCACTGGCAAAAAGACAAGGAACATACTGAATACATACCCTTCAGGGGTTCCTTCCTCTCAGTTTTTTCTGGTTTCTCAGGTTTGTCTCCCTGAATTACTAGATATATATATAAAAAAAAATACACAATAAATCTGTAATCTGGAGGAATTATGTATACTTATTTCACTAAGGTGATTGAGGAAAAATATTTGTAAATTCAAATAACGGATTTCAGCTCTGAGTCGCAGGTACTAGATAATGTATAGACCTCCTTGATGTCAATATTTAATTCCAGGTCCAAGGGAAATATTTTTCATTGGGTAAGACTTCAGATGTTAGACCATATTTCTGTAAAATAAGTGATTATTCAGTGACCTTAATCTAATCTGTGAGATCTCTTTTGGTCTCACTATACAAGCAACCTGACTCTAAGATTTCTGACAGAGGGAATTATTTTCAGTATTTGAGAGTACAGATTTCTATTCTTAAAAATAATAAAAAAAAAAAATTAAGAAAAAAATGCTTGCATATTGCTTTCCGTGCTGTTTTTTCTTTATTTTTAGCTGTTACTTAAAATGGATTAAAACAACCACATCTCTTTTAATCAGAGCATAACCTCAGGAAGATAAGCTGTTCAAACCATGACAAGCTACATGTCTGACTAGAAACAGGCAAACATGAATCCTTAGGGACTATTGCCCACCCAACTTTCAGTCCATTTTTGGACAAGACTATGCTCCCCATCCTGGTGATTTAGATGACAAAAATTTCCCATGTCAACCTCTACTACTAAAAGGCTAGCATATTGTAATTTCAGGGGCAAAATATTTTCTTTGTAATGCTCAAGTTTCTGTCAATGAGTAAATCACAGAAAATATAACTTCAATTAGAAGGCAACTGTGAGCTTTATACACAAGCACAGTAATGGTTTTGCATACATTCATCTCACCAGCTTTGAAGCAAATGTCATTTCACAGAGGTGCAAGCATTTTTTTGTTGGTTAAATATGTCCTCATTAGAAAATAAGTCCATGTCTTTAAGAAATAACAGTACGAACATTCAGTAATTTCTTTATGTCTTGCATGTGTTCGCATTATCCAAATACATTTGCAGTCATAACAGGTAAATTATTGTTGATAACAATTAGCAATACAGTGGAAAGAGATTGAAGTGAGATTTTTCAAGGTCTTTAAGGAATATGGACAGCCAATTTACAGTAAAAAAACAGGCTGTGAAGAATGCAGCAGCACCAGCAATGTATTACTGAATGAATTAGAGGATGTAATTCATTCAATTGCTTTGGGATATCCAGTAACTTACCAAGGGAAAGGCATCTCCCCTCTGCCTATCTCGTGCAGAGCCTAGACTGAACATTTCTGCAGAAACTGTAGCATGCTTTTACATCTTACATTTGTATTAGCAGGTGCTAGCTTTGTACAAAACACTTTGAGCTAGCGTGTTGTTAGTTTTGGATAGGAAAATAGCACAGTTTTGCAAACAATAGCTCTGTGATGGTCAATGGCATTGAAACTTGAGCTTCTGCACATCCGACAAAAGCCCTTGTAGTCTCTATGCCAAAAACCATAGCTGAACTATGCAGACTGGACTGGCAATCAGAAAGCTTGCTTTCAGCCACAGAACATCTTACTTCTGTAAGGGAGACTGTTGTGGGGTTTTGTGTTTTGTTTTGCTTAGTTTTTAAATTTATTCTAGTTTCCTCATGACATTTCCTTATTTTGTGCTTTAGAAAAAAAACACAAAACCAAACCATAAAAAAAACCAAGGCAAAAAAAATCCAACACAGAACAACAAAGAAAAATGAGCCTTGAAGGACGCTAACTGAATTGAGTGTCAGCAGACCTTAAAGTGGACAGAAAAATCTAATTAATGTTCCTTCATGTTATCCCCTTATGGTATAAGGGGATAAAAAGAAGGGAATTTGTGTGAACTCCAAGTTAGAAACACGGAGAAGGGACCACTTGACTCTGTCTTGAGAAATAAAAGGAACGATGCATCTGGGCATGGAGCCTGGAATGCGGATAAGCAAAGACCAGGCTGGCGGAAGCATAAGCTATTTTTCTTTTCCCTATGATAGGCTGAAGGCCATCTCCGGCTAGTTCAAGAGCCCTATTCTGTATGTTGATATCCCATAGTCTCAGAGTTTGCTAATCTCAGATTGTAACGTTTGCCATTACCTCTTATGGACGCTGTCAAAGCTATGGCATTTGGGTAGAAACTTATCTGCGAAGGGCAGATGCTGCCAAAAATTAGAAAGCTCATTTTTCAGGGCTATGATGACTGCACATTTTTGACTCTACCATCACAGTGAAGAAGGGCCACCAAAATCCTGAAGCTTTTGATCTGACAAACTTAAATAGTATTTTTCTTTTGCATTTTAACTCTGCTTCCCCCCCCCCCAAAAAAAATGTTTTCATGTTCAGCATCATATG